AAAATTAAATAACGTCTAAATAGAATTCTTTTATTTAAAATTATTCCTTTCCCGCGCTGAAACCGAGTATTTTAATACTCCCGGGCGAAAGAACTACAGTAAGTAAAGTTTTCAATAAATAAAAATAACATCCACTAGATGGAAGCATAACAGTTGTCATTATGACGTTCATGTATGTAGGACTTAATTTGTTTTGATGAGTTTTTTTTTTATTTTCTTCATACGTCATTACAAAAATTTTTGTTGACATTTGCCGAAGTGTTTAGACAAAATTTTAGCATCATATGTCATAAATTGAAAAAAAAAATTGCTTTTAAAAACATTGTAATAATTATAATTATGAAACTTTTTATTGAACATAATTAACGCGTCGTTCAAATGTGATAAAAAATAATATCTTTTTTAAATGACACTAATTGTTTATATCTTGCAAGATAAAATAAAAAATTAAACGCTTTGAAAATGGAAGATGGTGATTATTTAGGTGCTTACGAACGGTTTTTCAACGAATTTGTGAGACGAATTAATCCAAATGATCAATTACCAGTGAAAATGTCAGGACATGAGATTAATGGCGAGGAAGTCATTGGTGAAGTAATTGATTTAAGTCTTCAGTATCTTAACCAAAAGTATGAAATATTTTTTGCTGCTATTAAAAATCTTATGTCATAGTCTAAGAGGAACATGGTTCTTTCTAATAACCACTTGAACGTGTGATCTCCAATATCTCTCACTTTCAGATTGAAATTCAAGATTATGATCTCATTAAAACAACCTTATAACTGTAAAGATTTTCTTGAACCTCAAGTCAATTTTTAGATTTTTAAATATTTTTTTATAACTGGAGATTCATTAACGCGACCTGAGAATTGATTACATAACTTATCAGCAAATGAACATTCAGCTTTTTTTTTTTCTTTTAACTTAATATCTAAATACTTCATATCTAAAATATAACTAGAAACATAAATATTTTTGTAATGACAAAAACTTGCTTTTAATACCAATTAAAATTTACGGACAGTAAAAAATTTTTTAAAGATTTTATGAAAACAATTATTAGCAATCAATATAAAGAAAATCTAAATTCATAATGAATTACTTCTTTAAGCAAATAATATAGTTCTATAAGCAAAAAGTAGCACTAAAATTCAGCCTCACCTAAAAAAAAAAAGAAGTATTTAAAATTGTGAAATCTTTTTATCAAAGTCTATATAATTATTAAAAACAGTATTGAAAATCATCTGAACCATTTCACCCAGTAAAATTCTTTTTACGGATCGATCTCCTCCGATCGTTTTAAAATTTTATGGGAAAGTTTTCAATAAGTAATTACAATAAAAATAACTATTATTATTGTCATTTTGAAGTAATGATTTTTTTAAAATACACATAAACACGCGTACGATTACCACTCTGAAAATGTTTTAGTAGAGACATATCCTTGGTTAGAAAAAAGAATTCAAAACGATTAATAATGTTAATCCTCCATAAGAAAAGGAATTCAAGAGTATTAAAAAGAATTTAAATGTCGTTATTTCCAATACTTTTTAATTCTTTTTGTTAATCAGAAATGTGCTGTACATTAATCTACACAGTAGAAATATATATTAGAGACAAAATAAATATTTAGAATATTTATAGATTAAGATGTTTCAATGGAAAAATAAATAAATGAACACTGAACACTTTTTTAATCTAAATCCATGAATAAGTAATTCATTTGCATCTATAATTTCTAGATACTGCCCACCTAGCTTACAATCATTTATAGTTTGCTTGGTTATTGAAGAAATGAAACCAATTTTCAAAAATCAACCAGAAATTTGCGGCTTGCGACCAGAAAAAAATAGTATGTAGATAATTTGTCATAATCGACTTAATATTTTTTCAAATTTAATAAAATTGTTTATCTATGTTATTTTAGCTTATGCTCCACTGAAGTTAATGCAAGCAGTAACTAAAAAGATTAATGAAATTTGTCAACGTTATTTAGAAAATAGTAGGCTAGCTCTGCTACCGCCACCACCGTCTACACCTTTTCCTATCACTTCAGTTTTTGCAATAAAAAATAATAGACGGAAAATGGAAGATAGACATGTGGTACTGCATGATTTAAATACTATTTTTAAAATAGACGTACGTAAAAATACTTATAAATGAATTATTTTTTCTTGTTCAAGAAAATTTCATTGTATCATTTTATTTTAAGGATGACTATCCAGCTAGTTATTATGCAGTTTTTGATGGACACGCGGGTCAAGATGCCGCTGTTTATTGTGCGACACATCTTCATCAGTATTTAGCAGAAAGCATTTATTATCCATCAAACATAGAACATGCTTTACGTGATGCTTTTATCACAACTGATGCTCACTTTATTCAAAAGTGTAAGAAACATGTAAGTTTACACAAATTGAATGGAAACAAACCACTTCCAAAAATTTAATTCATTAAAATTTTACAGGCTCTAAGTAGTGGAACTACAGCTGTTTGTGCAATAATCTCGAACAAAAAGTTTTATGTTGCTTGGGTAGGCGATTCTCAAGCTGTTCTTGTGAAACGTAATAATGTTAAGCAGCTCGTAAATTCGCACAGGCCAGATAGATC